CCACATCAGCATGCAATGTAGACCAGAGGTAGCGCCACATCAGCATGCAATGTAGACCAGAGGTAGCACCACATCAGCATGCCACCTCAGCAAGCCTGGCGCACAATACAGAAAGCGCCAGCATGCTGCCTCTACCTCGTGCCGTCGTCCCCATTGCCAGTGCACAGCCAGCGTCTAGCCAGTGTCGGGCCAGCATAATGCCAGCGTCTAGTCAAAGTCGAGCCAGCGTCAAAGCAGCATAGCAAAACTGCATGCTTGACCAACTCGAGGCCAGCCTTAAGTAACATTTGTCGATGCTGTCTGGCCTCAGTTGCCTTTCGCACAGTCGTCCAGATTGCCTTACAGCCGAGGACCTCGATTGTACAGTTGCAGACTTCCCCCTTGGACCTGATGCATACAAACAAATGTGTGTGTCCGACCGGCGGCCTGGGCTGGGCACATTTTGACTTTGACTGTTGGGTGGACCGACAGATGCCTAAGGTCAACTGTCACACGCCCAGGCCCTGAATTCGTGAAAGGCCTTTTCCTGCCCTTGTTTCGGCCTGGGCTGAGGGCGGCCAGGTAGGCCCTCAGATTTAGATTCCTACGAGATATATGGCATGGGTTATTGCATCTGTGTAGCTGTAGGGCTTCGATCTGTAGATCCGTCGACTAGGGGTCATAGTTGTGTAGAGGCCGTAGCTGTAGCAATTCTGAAAGGTCAAGGTCGTATCTGCTACAGTCCTGAAAGGTCAAGGTCGTAGCTGCTACAATCCTGAAAGGCCAAGTCCACAGACTTCCGGAAGGTCCGGAAGAGGCCTTTCGAGAGTTTCTCACGTTATTCACAGCAGACCAGAGGCAAGTGGGCAAGTGGTGAGTCCAACTTTGCTTAGTCAGCGGTACCCAGTCTCACTTTGTACAGTCAGCAAGTACCATGAGGGACTGTGTGCACCATGGCCCCGGTGGAAAAGGGCAGACCGGCGACTTACAGAAGTATAAATCAAGAGACAGTGTCCAGCCATTCATTCGTTCCTGCGTGAGCCATGCGGAAGCGCTGTCCTAGCGTCTTGTGCGAGGTGATCTGCAGATTGCCCGAGGTCGAAGTGGGCAGAAGCAGAGTTAGAGCAGCCATCGCTGCTTGTGGTAGAGATAGTCGGCCGCCATAGCTGCCATAGCTAGTGATAGGTACTAGTGTGTATGTGCGTGAGAGATACAGAGTGAGTGTGCGTGGAGTATCCATGGAGATCCAGAGTTAAGTGTGGAGTGTGTGTGAACAGTTGGTCGGGAACACGAGTTGGGAAGGATGTTGGGCGCTGAGGCGCCATAGCCACAGCTAAAAGCGAGTTTGCATCTGAACTGTGTTCTCGACTTGAATATCTCTGAGCTTTGTGTGGGCGCACAGCGCCAGAGTACATCTCCATCTGTTTGCATGCATGCGAGTTGAAGAAGAAAGTGAGTCTGATTGCATAAGCCTTCATCACATCACCACTTCGTTTGCTCATTCTTCTTCTTCTTCTTCCTTTTTTTCCCTCCCCCCCTTTCCAATTTTCTCATTCCGTTCATCCCAGGGGAATTGGTTTACCCATCGAACTCTGGCACAGCTCTGAGAACATCAAATGCATCAATTGAGATCTTTTTTTTGGGGGGTGGGGGAGGGTGGGGAGGGGGTGGGGGACTTCAAAAAATAAAAAACAATCAATTCAGAAAAAAAACTCAAAAAAGGAAAAAGTTGAGGGCACAACATGGACACATACCTTGTTTTGAATTGCTGCAATCTTCGCTGTTTTGCTGCAGTGCAGTTTGCGACACATTTATCAAATTTCAGTCACAATACAGCAAAAGCAGCCACATACTGAAAATTTAAATAAAATAATACATATTATTAAAAAAAAAACAAACAATTTTTACTCTCTTTTATTGAATGAGATGAAAAGAGTTGTAAACATTTGTGCAATTTGGCTTGCAGGGGTCTGCAGTACCCGCCTGCCTGTTTTCCCACTGTTTGAATTTATTTGCATTTATTATTTATTTGAATTTATTTGAATTTATTTGAATTTATTTGAATTTATTTGAATTTATTTGAATTTATTATTTATTTGAATTTATTTGAATTTATTTGCATTTATTATTTATTTGAATTTATTTGAATTTATTTGAATTTATTTCACATCTGTAACTTTTTGGCGGGGAGTCTGGTGACCAATCTCAGGGCGTACACACACTAGCAGTCTAGCACTATCTTAAATGGATCTGAAGTTCAGAATGCGTTTCTTTTGGGTCCTACCTGTCTGCATTTGGCTGTTATTCCGTCCAGAAATAAGTAAAAAAAGTGCTAGCGTGCGTGTGACCTCAATCGCCGGTTCTCATTTCAAAAGAACAGCATCTTCAATGATCATTCAACAGAAACCGCTATCGTTCTTTTTCTGTGGCAGATTTGCTCGTGAAAAAGGTAATGCCGAACAAATCTGACACGTGTTTTCGTATAGCATCAGACTGCCAGGATCATTGGGCTTGCTCCACTACTCTCGACATGTGCAAAAAGAGAGTGGAATTATCCCGCTAGAACATGGAAAGATGCACTGCCATGATTTTTTGTCTTTTGTGCATATCGAGACTCGACAGTAGTGAAGCGAGGCCCATTATTGCCTCAAGTTTGAGAAAACTGTGGGGCGAAATTGACAACATCTCTCTCTCTCTCTCTCTCTCTCTCTCTCTCTCTCTCTCTCTCTCTCTCTCTCTCCACTCCCTTGCTTTTTGGAGAGTATCCAGTGCTGATTGGCCTTATGAAGGACATCTCTGTGATAGCGGAAGTATTATATCGTTAGACAAATATTAAAACACACACATCATAGCGGGAAGGGGAAGAAGAGAGAGGGGGAGAGAGGGGGAGGGGGGGGGGGGGGGGGGGGGGGGGGAGGGGGGAGGGATGGGGGGAGCAGGGGCAGAGTTAGTCTGCCAATGCCCCAGCCCCCCAAAATGATTTTTTTTGTTGTTAATTAAAGAAAAAGTCCCGGGTAGAACAAATACCCCGCAAAGTACGGAAAACAAATGGGAGAAAAAGGGGAAAAAAAACTAATGAAAAGAAAAAAAATGCCGAAATTTGGCCGTTCCACGGAGCAGCTGTTGCAATGACTTGCTGGTTCTGACTGCCGAGATTGACTGCGAGGCTGTACACTAACCGGTAGGGTTAGATTCGTGATTTTGTTTGGCTGAGGGCTAACCGAGAGACCTACCTGTGAGGAAATTCGGGAGGGACATATCTGCAATTTGGGAAAATACAGCCCTAACACTAACGGAATTTCCTACTACTACCGTAGCTGCGAATAGCACGCCCGGGCTACCGCTAGGACAGACAGGCCCTAACTGGCCTATACTGATAGACGGTCCTATAGCCTATAGCCGGGTCCGGTAGAGGCCAAGAGGCCGAAACAGAAACGGTACCGGTCGGTCAGTCAGTCCGGTCTAGGTCTAGCGTAGTCTATAGATAGGTTAGGCACATCGGTTCAGGACGTTTGGCTGTTCATTTCTCGCGAAGCAGCGTTAGAGAAGCCAAGCAAGTTGGTGGCGGTGTTTGTCTGCAGGCGGCACCCTGAGACCTCGCCGTTGACAGCAACCATAGCCGGCCCAGTCTGAGTCTGCCATAGCTGGGGCATCCTCAGCGCATCTACCCTTGTGGTATCTGCGTCTGGCCGGGCTATCTCGAGGCTCTACACTGTGTACTCGTGGGTGGTGGCAGCCATAGCTGCCTGTTCCTTCGTCAGAGTTGTCCATCGGCACTGAAGACTTCATCACAGGACCTGTTCTTCATCAGGGTGGTTGGCGCTGGCCTCTGGGAGGCCATGCTGATGTGGCGCTACTAACTGGGTGTAGGATAGAGAGTGGGGTAAGAGTTCTGAGAGTGGCGAGATACTGGAACAAACCCTGTTACGATAATTGTTTGAGTTGGCTCATCATCAGTGTAATTTCAATTGTTATCCTCGCCGGTTCTACTAGTGATTGGTTGTTGGGAGTTGTCAGAGAGAGAGAAACACTGTGTGCCTTCTCCCCATCTATGCATGGCTGTGCTTCCGCTATCTACTCTGATCTGTGTGCACTTTGGACTCTGTCTCCTCTCCCCCTTCTCTCGAGCATGTATGGGCGTGTATGAGATTGTCTGTGTGTGAGTGGCGGTAAAAATCGTCAGACAACCAAGATCATAACGCTGTGGTGAGGGGCCGGAAAGTTCGGCCGTTTGGGCCCGGCACATTCGGATCACCCAGATCGGCAAAAAAAAATTGAAAAAAAATATGTGGTGAGAGTAACCCTAGTGCTCATAATTTCTGACCAAAAAAATATGAAAAAAATCAAAGGCATAAATTGAGTGCTTCTCTTTTCGAGAACTTCATTTAAAAATTAAAAAAAAAAACTTTTTCATGGCAAAAACATTTTTAACAGCTCTCGTCTTCCCTGTGCGCCTACCATTAAGAGCATGACCCTCATCCTTTTGGTTCGGTGGGTCATGCTCGTAAAAAAGGGTTCTGCTCCATTAGAATAGCGTGGGGGCAATGGTGGACTCCAACAAACAAGCCTTGGGGGGGAAAAAAGGACTACAACAAACAAGCCTGAAAATCGCCATCTGCAAGAGTTTCGGTCGTTCGGAAGGACGGAATTCAGATGTGGCAGTGGAATAGAGGGAACAAGAAGTAACCGCCACACAGCCCTCCTTCACCCCTCTCTCTCTTTGCCGCACTGTGCAGAAAAAAGACTACCGTACGTTGCCCACGACAAGGGTTAAGTCAGCAAAATCCTTAAAGAACTGTTGGGATGAGAGAATGAAAGAATACGAGAAGAAGAGAATGAGAGAGAGAGAGAGAGAGAGAGAGAGAGAGAGAGAGAGAGAGAGAGAGAGAGAGAGAGAGAGAGAGAGAGAGAACATGGACATGGTGTACCTGGCTACAACAGCACCTAGAGCCTGGGCAAGACCTTGTGCTTCCATTGCGCGTATTGGAGCATCATTGTGCGTTACGACCTGAGTAAAACCACATGGCGATCACTGAGCAGGT